ACGAAGAAGAACACGTCTTATTCGTACTTGTGAATAGTGTCGAATGAATACTTGTGTATTGTTCATTGATTGTATAAGTAATCTTTCATTTGGTAACATTATTGACATTTCATAGATTGATTTATTTTTCATTATATCATTAACAGATGTAAATAAATCATATAACATGGAATGAAATTGTTGTGAAATCTTATTTATTGTCTCTTGATTGAATAAATTGAGTGATGCATTAATTATACATGACAATTGATTTATGGTGAGATCATATTGAATAGTAAGAATGAAATCAAACTTGCTCACATCTTCATCTTCATTGATTGTAATTGATAATAAAATACTACAAAGTTCACTATCACCAATCATTATTTTCTTTTCAATAGTCACAAAATTAAAAGACACATCAAGATATGTAGGCTTTGAACAATCAGAATGTTGTGCAAGAATATGTTGAAGAGGAAAATATGAATATTTTATACAATTTGTTGCCATTTCTTGAACATATTCAACTAGTTCATGAAATGAACCATCACGATCTAATCGACATCGCAATGGAATAAGATTTTCATATAATCCAATGATTGATTTAAGTTCATCTTTATATCGGGTATATGTATTCATTCCAATACAAATATCTTTTTCTCCATTAGTTAATTTAAATAAGAACATATAATAAGCGGCAAGTGCTAGATGTTGAAGTTCTATATTGTTTGTTGATGCATAGTTAAGAAAATTATATGAATGATCTTGACCAAAACCAAATGAGATTGATGTTGTATGACCAGTTCTATGTTCATTTGAGAGACGATGTCGATCACAGGGTAATGATAAAGATCGATCAAGATTACAACCAAGAAGAGTATCAAGCCAAAACATACTTGCACTAGTCATTGGCATTTGTTGTTCAATAAGAGCATCTAAATAAAACGAAAAAAAGAGATAAGATCGATCTATTAACAAAGATAAATATGAGAAATATATACAATCAAGATAACGTAGATCAGTATTATGATTGATAGGTAGTTGATTTGTTATATATGCTTGATTGAGGTCGTGAAGAAATATTTTCATTGATGGAAAATCAAATAAAACATGATGAAAATTGAAAATAATTCTATCTTTATCACAAAGAAGATTATTTGAAGAAATTTTTTTATAATAGAGAATGTGACATCGAAAAACGAGACCTTGATCAAGATGAAAAAGTTGAGAATTGTATTTCTCATCGTACATAATAGTATGAAGTTGTTCATCTGTTTCGAAAGTACTTTCAATAAATGTAAATAGTTTTCTAGTATGATCATTGATATCAATAATTCGTTGTATAAGTTTATTTGTTTCATTATCGAAAATAATTGATGTTCGAAGTGATTGATGTTTTGTAAGAGTGAGTTGAAGTGCATGATGAAGTTGTGTAGTTGATAATGTATGTTGTGAATGAAGACGATAGAGAAAAGGCATATTATTAATTGCAACTTGTGGTTTATCTCGATCGAATCGAATTCGTTCATCAAACCAAATACGAGATTGTGCATAAGAAGCTGGTCCTTAACAGAACAAAGACTATATAAGATACAAATCTATACAAATAAGCACACCTTCATTCTTAATATCAGGTAATCGATGAAAGATTGTTTGTTGTATTTCTTTAGGTACATTCTCTAGACAAAAAGATAATTTCGATATTGGTTGATTAACTAAATCAAATGAAGATGGATGTTTAACAAACAATTGTGAAAGAAGATGTTGAAATTGTTTTGATAGTTCTTCTACTGTTTCGCTATCAAATACATCTTGTGAACAGATTAGAGAACATGATATTGTTTGATTTTGAACTGTTGGGTCATGAAAAAATAATAGTTTCATATCAAATTTAACAACATTTTGCATTTGTTTCAGTGGTACTGGTTGAAATTGTGTTTGATTTACAGATAGAAGATCAGTATCAGATGAATAAGTAATGAAATCAAATAATATATTGAGAAAAGCAGCAGATGAATGTTTATAATCTAAATCTTGAAGTATTTGTTGAAGAGGATAATGTGTATGTTCAAGAATTGAATAAAATTCATTTTGAACTTGTTTGATAAGATGATTGAATGAATAAGTAGGATGAATCTGAATTCGATGTGGTAATGTTGCAACAAACATACCAATTAGATTTTGTAATTCTGTTCTATATCGATTAGCATGAATACATGAAATACATAGATCATTTTGATTCTGACTTAATTTATATAAAAATGTATAAAATATGGTAAGACCTAATTGAAATGGTGTGATATCTTGTGAAGAAGCATAATCAAGAAATGAATGTATTAAATCATTATCAAATGGAATATCAATAAGATGAGCAAAACCTGAATGTTGATCAGCTAATAAACGATGTCGATCAAAAGGTAACATTATACGACGTTCTAAATTCAGTCCATTAAGATGTGACTGCCAAAAATAATAAGATGATATTATATCCATTTGCTTTTCATAAACTGAATAATCAATGTATTGAAATTGATTTTCATTATTTATTAATGTACTATCATATTCTAAATTATATTTAAGATCACTAAAAAATATTCGTCGAGAAGCACCATCAAATGCAATGTGATGGAGATTAAAAATAATAATATCATTTTTTTCTAAGTATATTTCTTCATCTTTTCTGGAAGAACTATATTTAATTATGTGACATCGTAATACAATGCCTCGATTAATATCAAATAATTTTGAACTTGCAATTTCTGTATTAATTATTTTTGTTATTTCTTCATCATTTTCAACATAACTAATTACAAATTCATATTGATTTCTATAATTAAGTTGTTGAATATATTGAACTAAAACATTCGTATCTATATTCCAGTCTAATGATGTTCGAAGTATGGCATGTTTAGCAATAATTGCATCAATAGCTTGACGTAATCGATCAGTTGTAATCTGTTGACTATTCGAATTAGATATGATACGATAAACTAAAGGAATATTATAAACAGATGTTTCATTTGAAAAACGAATAGTCTGATCAACAAAAATACGTTGTTGACCATAGGATGCTTCAGCTAAAATAAACAATAGATTTTATATATATGTATAGAGGGAGAAAAAAATAAAATTATAGGTTACCTTGAGAAATATTTAGAGTTGACCATAATTGAGTTGGTTGATGAGTTTGAGAAGAAGTATGATCAAGCCATTGTTGAAGAATTTGAGTATGTTCAGCAATAGTTGGTTGACGAAATAAAGAAGCAATATTAAATGATGACGAAGATTTAGTATCAAGAGAAAATTTTATTTGATATTGTGCAAAGAGACGCATTATAGCTAATGAATTACCACTCAATGAGAAAAATGAACGATTAATAGGTATTTTTGAGTCTACATCCAATTGTAATATATCACACCAAAGATCATGTACAAGCTGTTGTTCATTTGTCATTGATATTTCATTGTCTTGATCATTAGAAATTTTATCATTATTTATTGGTAAAAGTAATGATGATAGATTAGGTTTAGGAAGTGCTGCTTTATCTAGTTTTCCATTAGAGTTAAATGGTAATTGATCAACTAGAATAAAAAGAGATGGAACCATATATTGTGGTAAATGATCTTGACAATTAATACGAATTAATTTTTCATCAAACGGAACTGATTTAGATGTTTTGTTTAATTGTATATATGCAATCAAATGGTCTCGTCCACGTTCAACTACTTTGACAACAGCACAATTAGAAATTGATGAATTAGATTGATAAATAACTGCTTGAATTTCTTCTATTTCTACTCGTTGTCCATTTACTTTCACTTAAAAATCATTACGACCCAATAATTGAAATTTACCAGTTGAAGGTATTAATCGAGCAAAGTCACCTGTTCTATAACTTTTCCCAGATTCATCTGGAATTTGAACTAATGCTTTGCTATTAAGATCAGGTCTGTTTAAGTAACCATTCATAATAGGTCCACTTATAAAAAATTCACCTATGTATCCGATTGGTATGATTTATAGAAACTTGTCCAATATATGACATCGAAAATAAGGCATGGGTTGACCTGATGGAACTGTACCTGATTCTGATAGTCCATCATCTTTTGTTACAACATGAAACATTTGTATGACTGTACCTTCTGTAGCACCACTAAAATTTATATATTGACATCCAATAGGTAACATAGGTAGAATTCGAGCAATAAAACGAGATGAGATTGGTTCACCTACAAGAACATGAATATATAAACAAATGAATATTTGATAAAAGAAGATTAATAATAATGTTCCTCACCTACAGACCCTATTAAACGAAGAGTATTGAGTCGAGAATATGCTTTTTGTGCTTCTACAATATCAAACAAAAGAATTTGTAATGTAGAAGCAATACAAATATATGTTGCTTAATGAATTTTAATAATTTGACATAAATAATCTATATTACGATTTTCTTGTTCTGAACGTAAAAGTATAAGAGTACCAAATATTTCATGAATATAAACATCCCAAGTACATGATGATAATCGTATAGCTCTATCAGTTGTACGAAATGCATCAACTACAACAGAAGATTGAAGATATAAAAGTAGATGAGAATGTGAAATAATAACTGTTTTAGGTATTCCTGTTGTTCCACTTGTAAAAATAAGATAAGCAATATTATCAGATGTAATAGATATTGGTTTTATAATATGATTGAAAATAATAAATGAATCTGTTTTAATAAGATTACATGATGTATGAGTCATTAGAATTGTTTGTCAAGTAAAACTATGAATAAGAAGAGTTTAAGTCGTTCTAGTGGATCCAAAGGTGATAATGGACAATAAACTGCATCACTTAATAAGACTGCTAACATACCAATAATGATTTCAAAAGATCGTTCAACACATTGACATATAATTTCGTTTGGTTGAATTTTATCAGTTCAATAATTTGTTAAATAATATACAGAATATAATAATTCACTATAAGTAAGTGATTGTTCATCGAGTTCATGAGCTAATTTTTGTGGATATAATTGAGCTTGTTGAATAAAACATTCGTGAACAGTATTTGGCCATGAATAAGATGTAGATATATTTGTATTATTCATTTGATGAATAAATTCTTGTTCAGTTGGAAGAACAATGGATAATTTATAGATTGGTTCATGAATAACTGAAGAAGAAGAAGAAGAGAAAAGTTGTTTAAGTAGATGTTGAAAACGATTTGCAAGTAAATCACCATTCGTTTGAGTTTGAAATATATTAATTGAATAATCAAGAAAACACTTCGTAGCTCATGCATGATAATCATATGATATTGTAAAAGTAAGATCAAATGATGCAATACCATTATCATGTGATCGATCTCGATCAAAATAAATAATAGGAACAGAATTTTCTTCAATAGCACCAACTTCAGGATTATTTTTTGTTGTTACTGATGATACTAAAGATTCATATTGAAATAATGTTGAAGGTAATACTTGATAATTTTGTTGATCTTGTAAATTAATAATATGTTGATAAGGTAAACAAGAATGTTTTAGAACATCACTACATAATTGTTGTATTTTTCGTATCAGATATTCAAATGAATTATTTGCTTCCATTTTCATTCGATATGGTACAAGATTAACAAACATGCCAATCATATCTTTCATTTTTTGTTTTGTTCGATTAGCTATAACACTTCCAACACATAAATCATCATCATCCATATTAATTAATTTATATAAAAATACATAATAACAAGCAAGAGATAATGAAAACATTGTTAGATCATTTGATGAAGCAAAAGAAATCATTGCATCAACAATATTTTGATCAAAACTAAATGCAGTTGAATAAGCACGACCAGAATGAATTTGATCAATTTTATTTTCATGAGGTACTAAATGTTGTATTCGATTCCAATCATAACCATTCATAACATTTGACTAATAAGGACGTGCTTTATTCATTTTTGAATCTATATTTGTATCAGCTAACAATGTTTGTTCATATAATGCAAAATCAATATATTGTGGAGCTGATAATATTGGTTGTTGCTCATTGGCCAAATCAATTTGTTTGAATGCTTTTATAAATGCCATAAGTGAACTATTGTCAAATGCAATATGATGAAAACTAATAACAATTATATTACATTTTCATATAGTAAACCACCAGTATTATTATCTTATCGCTGAACTATATGGCACCTTAAGACTTTTCCTTTTTTAAAATCGAAAATTTTTCCTGTAGATTCCTTGGTAAGTAATCGATCAAGCTCTTCTGATGTATTAATATTTCGTGAATGTTGAAATGAATAAATTGTATCGGTAGCGGCCTGAATGTATTGTTCGATTTGATTACTTTGTGGATTAAAACGAACAACAGTGCGAAGAACACTATGTTGTTCAATTAATGTGAATAAAATTGAACGAATACGTTTGATTGATGATGGATCTTGTTTGATTATCAATAGTAGCAAAATATTACAAACAGACAGGTCAGAAGAATGAAAATAAAGTTGTTCATGAAATTCGTTGTTGAACAAATGAAGCAACAGCTTTTGTTCATCCTGATGTTGTGAGTTGCAGTTCTTTGTGTGCATTTGTTCTTGCTGCTAGTCGCTTACGTGAAAGCATTGTATAATAAAGTAATACATCAATAATATAAAATAAGAAGCTTGATAGAATCTACAAATTAAAAAGAAGATGAGAAAAAATCAATAGATACTTCAAAATATGAAATAAGAATATGATCATATCATATGAGAGTGATATTATCATCAAAAGTACGATAAACTAATGTACAATCTTCTAATAATACCCCAAAATGAAATAAGAGAATTGATTGAGTAGCTATGACATTATATTAGATAATAAAAAAGAATATTAATTTAATACTGTTAGTGAGTTAATTAACTTCTATAGATTTTCACAAAAAAATATTTTATCGAAGAAATTTATTAGTTTTAATTGTTAAGAAATCTACAAATATTCCTATACTACAATAATCGATATATGTAAAATAGGTTTAGTAAATAAAAATAAATATTTGGTTAAATAATAATTGTGAATATGTTTTAATTATGAGCATCTAAAAGATGTAATTGCGTGTTAGTAATGAATGAGTGTGTTTTGAGTTGTTCTAACATTTCATGAGCAATAGTTTCTTCTGGTTTCGTTCTAATACCTACTATTTGATAAGTTCTACATGATTGAATACGACGCATTTGTAGATATAGAGGATGAAGAAAGAGACGATAATATTTGTAAAGCATACATATCATTTGATGATATTTTATTTTTTTGATTAGATATTTTCTGAATAAATAATGTAAATAAATCTTCATTATTATTATCATTTGATATTTGAGTAATACAAAAAAGAGTTGAAGTATTATTTTGATTTGATTGATGTAGACAAATGATATTTTCTAAACCAGTGTATGTTGATGTATTAGAATATTGAGCTTCATTTCTATTAACTAAATCAAAATCTGAATCATGTTCTTTTGTAGCTGATGATGTTGTTTGTTCTTTTTCATTAAGTTTACTATAAACAAGTGTTGCAATTGTTTCAACTGAAAGTCCTTGAAGAAGATCAACTAATGGTATATAAATGCCAGTTTCTTGACCTAACCAATTATATAATGAAACAGCAGCTAATGAATCCATATCTTGACTAACAAGTGAACGGTCAATAACTATACGATCAACACTAGCTGCACCTAATAATCGTGCAACAGTTGATTGAGTTCGTTCAATAATAGTTTCTTTTTTATTCATAGTAGACTCAGTGGAATTATTTTTTCCTGATGATGATGATGATATTTGATCAAATTTCATTTCTTTATAACGTTGATCAACTATTTTTCTTAAATAAGATGTAGCTAATGTTGGATAATTTCGATGTAATGTTTTCCAATTAACAGTAAAAATAACCGGACATGGACAAATCTTTTGAGTTTGATGAAAACATTCAATTAATTCAAATACAGTTATTGTTGGCATTAATTCAAAACCTTGTGTCTCTTTCAAAGTACTGAGCATTTCTTTATGACGATGAAACATTCCAGCACCACTTACAGCTGGTAAACTAATTGACAGTGCTGGTAAATTAAGTTTTTCAAAACGATAATGAGCAAGTGCATCAAGAAATTGATTTCCAGCATTATAACCAGCAAATGCAACTCCAAGTAAATGATTTCGAATTGATGAAAACATAATAAAGAAATGAATAGGTGCATGAAGAAGTTGTGTAGCTTGATGAAGATACCAAGCACCACGAACTTTTGCTGGTAAAACAAGTGATAAATGTTCTTGTGTTAAATTATTTAAAGTACGATCTTCTGCAACAACAGCACTATGAATAATACCACGAATAGGATAACAACTTTTATTAAATCTTTCTATTAAATTATAAACTTGCTCAAAATTTATTACATCTGCTTGAACAACATCAACATCAACATTAGATTCTTTTATTATTCTTTTTAATTTTAACCATTCATCATATTGTAGATTCGAAGGTTGTTCAAGTTCAATTAATGTTCGACGACTCATCAATGCAATATGTTTAACGCCTCGTTGTTCAATCATCCATCGAGACATTGTTAAACCAAGACCACCAAAACTACCAGATATTAAAATTGTTCCTTGATTACAGACTTCTGGTGAAAACATTGTACTATCACTTACAACTATTGATTAAGGAAAAAGAAAAATAATAATTGAAAGAAAATATAAAATATGATGATTACCTTTTAATAAACTATTAGATTGTTTTTTATTAATAGTTAATGGTTGATCGGATAAAGTTATACGAATAACTGTTTTATTCATAACTTGATCACTATTACATCTTAATAATGCCTCTATTACTTGAGATGGTTCATAAGTAACTGTTGGTTCAACAGCACATAATTCACGTTGAACAAATAAATCAATTGCTTCTTTAAGCATAATACCAATAAGAGGTGATATATGATCAAGAAGTCCAGCGAAGTCGGTCACATGGAAACTACAATCTGATCGTAATTGAAACATCGATAAATTGCTATTATGATAAATATCTCGTTTACCCCATTCAACAAAATTACCGTGATATGCTAATAATTTAATTGATTCTTTTACTAAATTACCTCATAATGAATTAACAATAACATCAACACCTTGTGGAAGAATTTCACGTATATTATTAACAAAAGACGTATCTCGACTATTAAATGCATGTTCAATACCATAATGTTCACGAAGAAAACGTCGTTTTTCTTCAGTTCCAGCTGTAGCAATAACACGAGCATCAATATATTGACAGTATTGAATACACCATTGACCTGCAGCACCTGCTGCAGCATGAATAAGAACAGTTTGATCAGCTTGCAAATGAACACGATATTAAGAGAATACATAACTGTTAAATACACAGCAGGCATAACTGATAATTGTGCATCGGTCAGAGAACATTGTGTTGGAATACGTATTATAAGTTGTGAACTAATCATAATATGAGAATGATATGCACGAAGACTAGTAGTACCTACAACATGATCACCAACTTGAAAATCAGTTGTTATTGTTGGACTTATACGTACAATAGTACCAACAAAATCTGAACCCGGTTCTGTATCTCGATTAACTTTTGGTTGTTCATCATCAGATTGTGCAAATGTACGTATATATGGATAAAGACCACGTGATTTAAGTACATCACGAAAATTAATTCCAACACAATGAATACGAACTTCTACCATATCTGATGATAATAATTCTTTTTCGCTATCTTCTTCAATCCATGTTAATGGAGAAAGAAAACGAGATTGTGGTACACAAAGACGAAATGGTTTTT